TCAATGCTATTTTAGTAAATAATTTTAAATATAAACTTAAAATGTTTAGCAAAAAACAGCAGTTAAGTTAGAGAAAAACATCTACAGTTGTTCGATTCTTTCGACTCTCAAAAACACAACTTCACTTAAAATATATAAGTATGTATATATATATATATATATATATATATATATATATATATATATATATATATATATATATATATATATTATATATATATATATATATATATATATATATATATACATATATATTCTTTTTGGATTATCACAACCAAATTGCATGACTTTCTAATTTGCTAAAAAAGCTTATATACATAAAAGTTTTTTTATAAATCACCTCTAGCCAGTAGAGGAAAGTAAAAAGGTGAGGAGAGGGAGAAGGGTATTATAAAATGGGTTAATGCAATCTCTTCCAGCTAATAGGAGTCTGTCTACTTATTATTTATTGATTTTAGTTGCCTATCTGAAAAAAACTTATTAAAAATGATGCATTGGACTTATGTTTTTTTTTTTTAAATGAGTATTGAATATAAATCAAGAACAACTGATCTCAGTCTTGTACGAAACATAGTCATTTCCGTTTATGATGTTTGTCTTTATATCCAAAATCGTAGTGGTCTTAGTTATGATGGTGAAGAAGCAATGTCTGAAAAATTCTTTTTGTTCACTATGCGTGCTATAAATTTGATTTAGTTGTTGATAAATCATGCAATGTTTAAAATTTTAGAATAGTTCAAGCTATCTTAATCAGTTCATTTTTACTGATCAAGCAAAATTAATTGATACGTGTCAAACTGGATGGGTTCAGAAACATAGAGGTCTAAATGTTTTTCACTCAATTGAAGAAATTACATACAATTAAGGTAAAAATTTATTTTTGTTAAGAGTTTATCCTCAGTTCTAGATTTCTTGTTTGACTTTATGGACAATTATTTTTAAAACTTTTTATACACTATTTATAACCTCTGATATTTATAACCAGATTTTTAATATACATTAAATCATTACATAAAATATAATAAAACAGTTATAATATAGTAAAGTCAATAATCAAAAAAATATTAAATATTCAGTAAAAATCAATTCTAAGCACCATCTTCTTGAAATGGAAAAAATATTTAAATTTGTTAAGTTAATTTTTCTTGATGAAAAAGTTAAAGATTCAAGTTATTACCACGCAATTAAATGTAATATTGACGGGAAACCTCAAATTCAAAAAATGTTTACTACAAATGCAATGTATATAGAAAAAAGTTTCAAAAAATCTAACTTGTACAAACAACATTTTTTTAAAACTTTTTTTATTAAATCCAAATTCTAATTCATTAAATAAATGAAATTCAAGAAGAGAAGTAATGCAATGTTAAAATCTAAGGTCAGTGCTGGATTGAGGGGCCCCGAAATAATTTTAAGGACTTTTTTTGTTTTTGTTTTAGTCATTTTATCAGTCAATTTTTAAAAATTAATTTTTGAAAAATTATTGGGGGGCAAATGCTCTTGCTGCTTATAAAAACAGTTTAGTTAATGACTAACTAAATATTGGAGCCCACAAAAAATCGATATCGTCGTTGAATTAATTCGTTAATGCAAAAGATTTAAACAGATTTAAAAGAATAAAGAACGTTATGACAATAAACAAAACATGATATCTACCACACCAGCCAGTATTAAAGAATAATAAAACCATTCTTTAGTTATGCACAATGGTATTATAAAAACTTTAAATCAAATACGAACTCACTTCTGGATACCTAAAGCACAAAGCCACATAAAAAAACTGATAAAAAAATATTATATTTGTATACGCTTTGAGGGACTGCCGCGTTCATATCCTCCTCCCCCCACCATTACCCTTATGTCGTTTAAGTAATGATCATGCTTTCAAATTTACAGGTGCAGATTATGCAGGACCATTATATGTTAAAAATATTTATGAAGTAGTTAATTTATAAAAAGTGTGGATTTTTTATTTACATGTGCTACTACACGTGCTTTTTTATTTACATGCGGTACAAGCTGTTAATGACAAAACATATGAGACAAACTTGAATACCCGAAGTATGTAGATTGAAAATATACTAAATCATTATTGGCAAAAATGGGAAAAAGAACATGTAACAGAGCTAAGAGAATTCCACAAATTTAAGAAAAAGAAAAAAACAAATAAAATAGCCGTTGATGACATTGTGCTGATTCACGACTTGGACACTAGACAAGTTTGTTGGAAAACAGGCATAGTTTAGAGCCTCATTAAATCAGCTGACGGATTCATCCGTGCTGCTTCAGTTAAATACATTGCTAATGGAAAAACATACATACATTAAAAGACCAGTAAACAAACTATATTTTCTAGAAGCATCAAACACCTCTGAAGCAATAAGAATCAAGTTCTGTGATGAAAGTAACATTAATCATTTAGTAATGAATTAGTTGGGGGCGGGAAGTCAACGACATGATTTGGATAATGATTATGGTACCACTTAGAAATGATAATGGGTTTAGATGTTTTAATGTCATTGATAATGGCTTGCTCCACCAATAACGTATTACCCTCAAGAGGCTTATCCCAGTTATGTTTTTCGATACATAGTTTTTGAAAAAATACTTTACACTTTACTATAAATGGATTAATAAGCGGGTCAAAAATGCTTGCTATAAACTGAAGAACTTTACGTTTCGTTGAATTTAAGTCATCATTGTGTATTAAGTTTCTAAAATCAAAGATTAAATTGTCTTTTTTTTTATTCCATGATAACACTTTGGTTAGATTAAATGAGGTAAAGTTTTGTTCATTAACCAAATTTTCAAGGCGTTTGCAGTTCGATTCGAATTTTCTTAGACTAAAGCCGGGATTTTTTAATCGAACTTGACGTTTTTTATAAAAGTCAATAGCTGAGTCAACTGAGTCTGTCCCTGAGTTAAGATCATCGACATATAAGGAAATCATTAATTTATGAACGAATACAGGGTCATCCATAAGATATTTTTCAGCATGTGTAATGAGAGTTGTAAAAAGAAGAAAGGAAGATGAGGTAACACCAAATAGGACTCCGCATAATCTATAAGAAATAATTTCTTGAGTAAATATATTGACTTTATTGAGCGTGTTAATGTTCTTGAACCATAAAAATCTTACATAATTACATCCCTCAGGAAATAAAGCAATTTGTAAGAAGGCTTTTTCAATGTCTGCCACAAAGGGTATTTATTCGTGTATTTGGGCACAAAAACGTAGGAGAATTCCATATAAAGAAGTGGTCAAAGATGGTCCTGGGTTTAGGTAATCATTTAATGTAGGGCTATCGACAGAACTGCTTGCATCAAAAACAATCCTGACTTTAGTAGTATTTTTATCATTCCTTAATACTGGCTGGTGTGGTAGATATCATGTTTTGTTTATTGTCATAACGTTCTTTAATCTTTTAAATCTGTTTAAATCTTTTGCATTAACGAATTAATTCAACGACGATATCGATTTTTCGTGGGCTCCAATATTTAGTTAGTCATTAACTAAACTGTTTTTATAAGCAGCAAGGGCATTTGCCCCCCAATAATTTTTCAAAAATTAATTTTTAAAAATTGACTGATAAAATGACTAAAACAAAAACAAAAAAAGTCCTTAAAATTGTTTCGGGGCCCCTCAATCCAGCACTGACCTTAGATTTTAACATTGCATTACTTCTCTTCTTGAATTTCATTTATTTAATGAATTAGAATTTGGATTTAATGAATCTTGTTCTAAAAAAAAGTTTATAAAAACTGTATTGAATGTCATTGAATGTCAAACCTTTATATATATATATATATATATATATATATATATATATATATATATATATATATATATATATATATATATATATATATATATATATATATATATATATATATATATATATATATATATATATATATATATATTTAATAAACAATAAAATTTAATGTACTTCCGCATTAATTTAATTGCTTCGACATTTCGATGACAATCAAATACAGCTTGAGACGAGGTAATAAAAATTGTAGTCGAAAGAGACTTCTTTTTACCATAAAAATCTCTTTCGACTACACTATAAGGAGATATATATATATATATATATATATATATATATATATATATATATATATATATATATATATATATATATATATATATATATATATATTTAATAAACAATAAAATTTAATGTACTTCCGCATTAATTTAATTGCTTCGACATTTCGATGACAATTAAATACAGCTTGAGACGAGGTAATAAAAATTGTAGTCGAAAGAGACTTCTTTTTACCATAAAAATCTCTTTCGACTACACTATAAGGAGATATATATATATATATATATATATATATATATATATATATATATATATATATATATATATATATATATATATATATATATATATATATATATATATATATATATATATATATAGTATTTTATTGAGTATAAATAATTTAGTTTTTTTGAACAGCGATAAAGAAATCAAAACTATGGAAATTTTAAACGACAAGAAAATTCTATATATTATGCCACCTGATAGTGACTATAAAAAATCTTTTTATAGCGAAGTGTCAATTGCATAAATATTTAATATTTTGATAAGTAGCAAATAAAGAAAATTAGTTTCGTAACTCGTGATTTTGATATGAGTTGTTGGATTAATGGTAAAGAAGGAAACAAAAAGTTTTACAATAAAATTTTTATAGCAGGAGAAAATTCAACATCGCTGATTGATAATATTCTAACTACATTTATTTATAAAATATATATATATAAAATATAAAAATATAAAGATAAAATATATAAAAATATAAAAATAAAATATAAATATATAAAAATATAAGATAACATATATATAAATATTTTTTACATTGGATTTTATAAAATTAATACATATACAATACAATGCATAAATAACAATTCATAACTTTAATGACACAACACAAATAACGCAATATCATCTAAAGAAGCCAAATGAAAAAAGTTCACACATTACCTTATCGATTATTTGGCAAAGTTGGTAAGGAAGGACGCATGAACTTCCTAATTAAGTGCTTATCCGCGGTGCTCTGTGATAAGATATTAGGTCTTCTAGGACCATCTCAATAAATAAAGAAAAAAAAAATCTTTTGACGCCATTAGATGATGTGTTAATATTCTTGTTTTCAATGTTAGTTTATATGTCTTTCTGTAATATTATTAAAAAAACACATATTTTTTATGATATAAAATATTGAAATTACTGCAATAACTTAAATAGCGAAGCAAAATATATAACTAAACCTTGAATAGTCCGCGGATTACCAAAATTAATCCAGTTTAGTCGGTAAAACTTAAAAATAACAAGATAACGGAAAACAAGTTGATATAATTTTATGAAGATGATAATTCTGAAAGTAGCCGCAAACAAATTCAATAAAAAATTTCACAAATATTGTTACAAAACTGGCTTATAAGATTACAGTAACAAAAGGTTTTTTTAATGATTTTTTAGAAACTATAAACAATACGTATTATGTCGATGAGTTCTAATTTCTCGCTTTACGAGTTCTTTTAAAATCTTTTTAAAAGCTTTAAAAATCCAAGGATCAAAACAACTGGCGCAAAGAAAAAAAAAGCAACTTAATTAAAAGATATGAAAAATTTAAACATATTTTAAATTGGGTCATCAGAAGATTTAAACAACAAGAAGTATTCCTTGACCAAATAAAAATTTTAATAGTTTTACAATTTAAAAAGACAAAAATAAAAAACTATATACAAAATAAAAGTCATTTGTGAAGTCTTCAAAAGTTATTTACAACAGAACATAAGTATATAAATTACAATACAATATAACACATATAATTTTAATGAATTTAAACAGAACGGGCAATAAATATATTTTTTTTCAAGACAGCATAAGAAAACTTCCAGCAAAAGATTTTTATTTTCTGTCAATTTTAAAAATATATTTACATTAATATTTAAAAAAAAAAAAAAACATTAAAAAACAACAACAACAACATGCAATGACGTACAAGAAAACCATTCCTATACAGATACGAGCTTAACATTTTTGCTTTTACCAACATCTTACGAGCTTTTACCAACATCTTACGAGCTTTTACCAACATCTTACGAGCTCTCTACAAAGCTTCAAAGCCTTCATTAACCCAAGCCATAGCGGAACCAAACTGTTTTTTTTTTATTAATGGTTTTTGTTTTAGGTGCCCCAAGAAGATCTAACAGTTACAGAGTACCACAAAAGGACATTTAACTAGGGAATTTTTCATTAATAAGATATGTGGTACAGAGATATGTGGTAATAAAAAAATTATTGGAGATTTCAAGTTTTTACACGGCAACTTTCATTAAACTTAATGCGCTTTTTTAATTTTTTAGTTAACTTAAGAATCTGCGAGGGAAAACTTTTGATTTTTTTTGTTTTATTTATTAGTTTTAAAATTTAGCACTGTGCAAATTTTTTTTAAGTGCCCTAAAAAGTCTTTACTTACCACAGAGCACCGCGGAAGAACATTTAATAGGAAGTTCACGCCTCTTTCCTAACCGGTGTCGCAAAACTTGTCTAGATTGGAGTTCTCTAGGCGGGGTTCGAACAACAGATCCTTTATTTCTGAGGCAAGTGCGCAATTACTGTGCCACAGCTGCTATTTTATGGATGATCCCTAGTCCGACTTATAATGTAAAAAAAAAAAAACTCTCCAAAGCTAGTGCTATTCAAAATACCAAAAGAAAAAATAGTTAGAAAAAATTTGAGACACAAGTATATGTGTCATAGGATAAAGGTGATTGCTGATTTGTGAAAAAATAAAAAATTAAGATTCCCATTTCTGTAGGAAATTATAAATGCTTGGTTTCACACACACACACACACACACACACACACGCACACACAATGTTTGAGTAAAACCAAGCAGTGTGTGTGTGTGTGTGAAATTAAGCAAAAAAAAAACAAACACTCGCACACAAAGGTTTGACATAAAGGAATTTGTGTGTGTGCGTGCGTGTGTGTGCGAAGCCAAGCATGCGTGTGTGTATGAAACCAAGCAGCGTGTATGCGTGTGTGAAACCAAACAAAAAAACGCACACAAAAAGGTATTTGTGTGTGTACGTGTGTGTAAAACCAGGCAAAAAAAAACACACACATAAAGGTATTGATACTTATAAAAATATTACTTTCCGACTAAAGACACTTAATGTTAACAACAAATTTTTTGACTTTTAAAACAATTTTAAAGAAAAAGTTTTAATAACAGACAATAAATAAAATAAAAAAAAAAAAACGAAATTTCATATATTAAAAAAAAAAAATTCAATCGATTTTAATAAGAAAATATTTACTGTGCTCAATTATTTGGGTTATTTACTGTGCTCAATTATTTAAAATAAGTGATCAATTATTTACAAAAATACATGAGCAATTCCGTGAGTGGCGGGAGTAGCATTTGACACTCTTAAAGCTATTAAAAATGAACCGATAATGGAAATAATTTGAAACTTTCCAGAAATGTGAAATACTATCATATAATTTAGTATGTAAAAGTTACAGAATTAGTCTTCAACAAACTAGCTATACGTAGCGTGATGGGCGTAAAGCTTACTTTTTACTACTTCTAAACAAAACAACTTTGTCAGACTTAATGCAGCAAACGGCATGGTAAAAAATAAAATTAAAAAAATAATTTTGGTGTGTGTATTTAACATACATTAATGTTATTATATGTTAAGTTTCATAATTTTTACTTGAAGTTTTAAAAGCATTTTTTTTTTTTTGTCGTGACGGTCTTAAAAAATCCAGTGCTTAAAAACAATAAATAAAACGACGCAATCAATGATGTAAGAAAAAAGAATAAATGATTATTAACAACTATGTATATTATGTTTAAAAAATGTACCATAACATTATTGAAGTTCTCAATTATGGATATACGATACGATTTTTAACGCTACATAACAGGACCGTAAAAAAACCATCTAGACACGTTTATACAACCTTTACATCATTAAAACCATGCTATGGTATGATAAACCGGCTTTTTTAAACAACATTTTTGCTTTAAAGTAATTAAATATTTATGGAGTTTATTATGTTTTTTTTTTCCTTCTTTTTTTACGCGGAATTGCAAATATACTATAATATTTAAATTTTCTTTTAAATACAAAAAGTAACATTAAATAAAGTTATATTTTAAATTACAAAATCTTATATAAATATTTTCTACTTTAGTTTTGGAGTGAACTCTAAAGGATTCATATCTAGCAAGTAACCGAGCAACGCAATCCAATTTTGGTCAAGATCATCATATCTATTTGGAAAACTGAACTGAGCACGCCCGTTAAATTCAGCAGGGGTATCTTCTTTTTTTACACCATCGAGTACAACGGCAAGTTGAGAGGAACGCTGACAACTGTTATATAAAAGTTTTCTTATTAAATCTGCTTCCATGTTAACTTTACAAATTATTTCCTCTGTAGCTATCCGAGATGTTATCGCCTAGTGTATAAAAACTTATTTTAAAAGTTGAAGATGGTTACTTTACTGTACTACATTGAAAGTATAGAAAAAACGGCATGTCAAATGAATTGTTATTTAAAAAACAAAAAAAAACAACAACAACAACAACAAACAAAATAGTCAATTTATTTACACAATCTTAAGTGGTTTAGAATATATCAAAAAGGTTTCCAGCGATCACAACCATCTTTTTGCATCTTATGCATGTCTGGATCTGTAAAGTACCGATAAAGACGTTTTTATTAAGACGTCTAAACGTCCAATTTTTAAAACTTTTACTGATGTATAAAGACGTTTTTATTAAGACGTCTAAACGTCCAATTTTTAAAACTTTTACTGATGTATAAAGACGTTTTTATTAAGACGTCTAAACGTCCAATTTTTAAAACTTTTACTGATGTATACAGGTAGCTAAAAAGATAAAACGTCTTTTTATCTACCTGTATAAATGATGTCATTCTCACCTTAGATATAAATAACAACTTGCTTTACTTTATTAAATACTTTTACTAAACTATGAAAAAATCTTTTAAAATGTCAACGGAGTAACTCCGTCGGCAGTAACTCTATAAAGTAGACAGCAGTATAAAGTAGACGGATTAAATTGTTGCAAAGCAAAAGGAATAGAACAGCGAACTTCGTTTGCTACAACAAAACTTTGATTGTGTACTTTTCAGAGTACGCGCGGTACCTATCTATTTATTATTTTTAAAACATGTTATGAAGTTTAAACTATGATTTAAATTGTTCAAGTTAAAGTTTTTTTAATTTTTTTATATCACACCTTTTAAAAAATGTCATTTAGTGATTATTATTATTTTAATAACTATGTGTGTTTTACATAGAAATTTTAAATTATGTGTATATTACATAATAATTACGTATCTTTTAACTTAATTTTCTTGAAAAAACATCAAAACCTAACATCTTCTTAACTAATTCTTTCAGCTTATAATGGAAAATATGTCGGGCCTACTCGATGACGTTAGTACTTATGATTCACAGACAGTAAAATGTTTAGCTGTTAAGTTAGAATTGGGTCAAAGTATTCAAAGATGGTTCTGGATCTCCTGATGATTTTTCAACTAGATGGTACATGGTGGATGTTTAAATATAGATAATTATAGTTGAAAAATTTAAATCTGGGCAAATTTGAAGTGGACATGATCGCACAGCTTGTCATGATCGTAAAGATGGTCATTTAAGGTGTGGTCATAGGTTGTCAAGATGGTATATTCTTTATTTTTATGTATTTTATGAACCAAATTTTTTTGTTACTGTGAATATAAGTATATTATTTTAAATAAAATTGAACTTTATTAACTTAATATTTTTTTTTATTATTATTTAATAAAAATCTAGGTGATGACATTATAAATAAGTACATCAAAAGCATGGCCTTCTCAGATAAAATGGATTTTACCTTTCACTGACTCCTACTAATTCTGAACACTTTAGGATTGGAGCCGCAAACATCCTCATCATAAGATAGTTATGGAATTCTCCACGTCCCAGAGAAACCATAGTTTTCTTGGGGCCTGGAAAATTTCGTTGTTAAGCTTTCTGTCGTGCTTGAACACCTTGTTAGAGGACTCCTGTGGATGATACCATATGTCATAAGCATATTTGCAGTCTCCAGGTTATACTGATAAAACTTGTGAAGGTCTCCCTCCTCATTGCTGGATACGGAGAGGTAATGTAACAACACTCCATCGGCTCACACTAATATCTCTGCTGGAAAAACTTCTAGCGGTATTCCCATTATTGGAGTTTCCAGATCCTCTTGGCTTTTGGAACATTAACATTAGTACCGAGTCCAGCACTCAACGCTACTTGAATCTGTTTTAGTTTTGAGTTTTTTTGAGTCACTTTGCTAGCCACTTTTTAAAATCCAACCTGTAAAGGAAGCAATCCATGCTCTTTATCTACAAATGAAAGGTAGACAGACCATGTTTAAATCTAATAGCTGAAAGATTTTAACTCTATAAACCTTCTGCAGGTCATTTAGGTTGGAGCTAGTAAGGCCACAGATGCTACAACTAGTAGTTTTATCAGTCACTTCACTATAAATTGTAGCAACGTTTCAATCAAATATGATCTCCTCTAACTTGTAAATCATGGATCCTTCCAACAATGTAGGGACAGCCTACTTTGCTCCACCACAACATCCTTGCTCTCCTTGATGTATTTAAACTTGATTGGCTTAAGATAGCATGTGGAGAAGGGTTTAAGTTTGTCTAAACAACCTCTTCTGTCTCTTAGCTCCAGTTCTGTAAAAAATGAGGCAGGAGAGAGAAAAAGACTCTACTGATATTCAGGTTAGCTCAACATCCTCTGATTCCATCTGTTTACAAACAGACTGTCCGATACAACCATCATGCCCTTCTTTAGAGATCATAATGAAATATTGAACCCTAATCTCTGAGCTAACAGACTTAATTACCCATTTAGCAGTATGATTAAAATTATTTATATTTATTATTTATATTATGATTAATTATGCTTGTGTAAGTCAACTAAGGCATTATAATTCCTTGCTGTGATTCCATCTAACTCTCTTTGTGTAGATAAGTCTGATATCTCCTTCTCTCCTCTTGGACATTGATGTAGGCTTGGTACAGTTTGTTGCCTTTTTTCATGGCACCATTTCTCATAATGAAATAATCTGGCATTGAAAGCCTGAACATTGAAGCCCGTAACTATTAAAAATCATATAAAAAGTTGAAACATTTATATTTTTGTCTGCACCCTAACGCTAATGCTTGTCTCTAAATAATTAGGCCAATCATGTTCAAATGCTTGAAGAGTCTTTTTAATAGCTCGCATCATGCTATTAAAAGTTCTGACATCAAGAAGAACCAGAAATTTGAACTCGATTCCAAGAGATTAGGCATTTTCTTAAACCTCTCAGTATAATTTAAAACTATAATTTAATTTTTTTTTTAATTTAAGTTGGCACATTCTTAAAAGTTTTAGTACTAGACAATGCAGGATCGTACTCAAGTGTTTCCTTATTATCATTTTCTACATCAGAAATCAAACCAATATTATTTTTGTCTTCATATTCTTTCTTTGTTGTTGAAATAAGCACATTTGGTGCACTGAAAGAAATCTGAGATTAAGATGCTGACATGTAATTCTCTGCAGCTGATTCTTCGCTCTTGTCTGATGATGAATCCTCATTTGTTCGATTAATGTCTGTAATTGTCTTTTATTGTGTAGTTTTGCAGTTTTACAATAGTTTTAGTGGATTCCATGATTATTTTGAGATGAGGGACAAACATTTTTAATGCAAACACTTCCCCCATCTGTAGTTTGACCAATGCAATCTTGGTCAGAATCAAAGCTTAAGGTGATTCATTTTGCAAACTGATGACTTAGCAACCTCAACAACATTTTTTTAGAAAAGTCCAAGATTTGATGCTAGCTTGACAACACGCTCGAAAGCCAATGCACTTGAAACAAATCAATCATTTTGTAAGTGTTAAAAGATATACTAGGTTAAAAATTATAGTAGGGAAAAAAATAAAATTAGTTTTAGATTACTAGATGTCTCTAGATTAAAAAAAATTAAAAATAATTTACCCCAATATAAAAAATGGTTTTAAGGGGTTTTTCCCACTTTCGACCCACTGTGCACTGTATACAAAAGAAATATATTGCTAAATTTGTTTCGTACAATTTTAAATGTGGAAAATTGCAACAAAATATATATGGCTCAATCAATTAAATTTGGCTGCTATGAAATCATACCAGGCTGTGTATTATGCTATGAAATTGTGAAAAGTCATCTTTAGTGTGGAAAGCTAGAGTGCATTGTTTCTTTTTTCAAAACAAATAGTGGGTTTTAACTTTATAAACCATTACTTTTTTATACAGCCAAAATCAAATTCTTTTAATATCACATTTGATGCATACAAATTAAAATGCTTCAGTTTCCAGTTTTATCAATTCTAAATCTATTGTTTCCATTAACAG